GCCGTTCCTGGGACAGAAAGCGCCAATGGGAATGACATTGCATCATGATATAGCATTACTCCCAGGAGCAGTGCTGAAGGAAGAAAATATGGCTGTCCCCTCTTGGCCCAGTGCAGGAACTAAGTTCTCCTCTGACGGAGGAGCTGAACCAGCAAATATTAACATTTCAGAAAAACTTGAGAGAACTCCAGCTTTGATGGCCTCAAAACGTCCAGTCTCTGAGGGAAATCTTCATGGGATTGGAATTACAGATACTTGACTCCTTTTGGAGGTGGGTGATGGTTATGCTTCGAACTGGACACTGATATACCTGGAAGGGTTGATCACTGGCCGAAATGTTTCAGTTTTGAACTATGTTCTTGGACACAGGCCAATGCACAAAAGTTGACGTGCCATAAAATGTTTCTTCTCACTAAGGATTTTAAACTGCAGTTATAGAGGAAATTACCCCACACACACACACACATGCACGCACGCACACCACTATTAAAAATTTTTTTCATAGAGTGCCCCACTGCCAGTAATCTGTGTATTTTTCCATAGGAAAGAAGAACTGAACAAAGTAAAGAAAACTTTTAATAGGATACTCTGGAGGCATTTAGTTGCACACCAGCCAAGGATCTTTAGCTGGAAGCAGAGGGACTTTCACCACTGACACTTACTGTCCTTCTTGTCTTCCATTTTTAAGCTGTGCATGTTGTTAAAATACTTGTCCACTGCATCCACAACCAGCTCGTCTTTTTCTATTTCTTCACATGTATCCAGATCTTCTTTTAAACCAGAGTTGGAGAACTTGAGGCCTTCTCGGATTACAACCTCCATCATCCCTGCTAACTGAGCATAATAGAGGGGGGTGATACAAGCTGTAGTACAACCAGGTGTGGAGGGCTACAAGAATATTCCCAGCCCGGCTTTAGATGTGGGGGACTATGCATTTTTTTAACAGATACTTGTTATTAGCATATCTGGAGACTGAGTGTCACAGAACTATGACTTTATATTTTCTCCAGCTGACAATATTTTTGTTACGGGAATTACTGATGCGCCTGTCAGCTGCTTGATCTTCCTTATGAAAAACGCCAATGATAAAGTGACAGAGAAGGAACAAAATGATGAAATGTTACTGCCAGGCAGGCTTCGGATTTCGGATTTATTGTGTTGCAGTGGATTTTGGCCCATGCTTTGCAGATCTTGAATAGACAGCATACTATGATATAGCAAAAATGACCGAGCTGGTACTTCTCTCCTTGCCAGTGCTTTACATACAAGGCCAAGGGACAAGTTGGAGGGGGTGCCGGTCTTACTTCTGCTCCTTTGTCCCAAATGCAGCAAGCTTCTTCTGTGGTGTGGCTGTACCAGTAGCAGAGCACCGTGGCATCTGTGCCATGTAGCACCAAGGGAAAGGCTGATGCAGTGCTTTGGTTGGAGTCCTACCCCCAGTACCTACACGTGGCTGTTTCTCATCCTCTGGCATATGGAGACCAACTTTTTGGCAGGCGTGTCAAGCTGCTGACTTCACTCTCTCAGGCCTGCCTCTGTCAGTTGGTTTATATGACACCGCAATCCTTACTATTGTCGTGTTGTCCAGACCAAGACTGCTTCCTGCAAGGAGGCTTGGTTTTTCCTAACAAGACACCCTGTGATGCTATGGGCTGTCCTAGGGGTTGTTTTGCCCGTGCTGAGCTGCATTGTCTGAACTTGGCTAGCTAATCTGCAAGCGAGGCACAAGGAAAGGGCAGCAAAAATCTATGCTATTGCTCTTGGCAATCTTGCCCACACTGCTGCCGTTGACAGTCTCTCCAAAGTGCTGAGCAGCATATCAGAGGAGTTCACACTGATTTGCCACCCCTTGAGGGGAAAAAAAAGAATAATGTGTGTGTCAAAGGTGCACAGATTTGGAGGGTTATAATTTTTTAGTCAAACTTGTGCGAGTGTGGAGGTGCGCACTAGCATAGGTCTGAAAACTGAAAGCCGCACCTGACCAGTGTCCTGGGCAGCATCCTGCTATCCAAGCACAGCAAGTACCAGCCCTGGGCATTGACCCAGAAAGGATCCAGGTAAGGGGTGCCTTTTCATGTTGTTCTCAAAAGGCAAGCTGGCAAGGAAAAGCAAAGCTGTGAGAAATCTTTGCTGGTGAAAGAGGGTAGCTACCATGGCCCTCCCTTGGCAACAAGGTTCTCAGGTTTTTGAGGATCGGGGGGGGGGAAACCAAAGTTTGCCCTAAACAGTTTGCCTTACATCCATGGGGAGGAGAGACAAGGTGGCCTGAGCTGCAATGCCCCAAGACCTGGTCTGAAGATCCAGGGGAAAGCAAAGAGGGCGAACGACCCACAGTGAGTCTGCCTATTTGTTGGGCATATTGGGGTTTGTTCTGTGAACAGTAACAGCACCGGGGCTTCCTGCACATCATGCTGATGGTGGGATAGCATAACGTACAAAGACAAAATGTGTCTTTTGTCTGTTGCTAAATATTGTATTGTCGTCTTCTTTAAAAGTTGCAAACCAGCCTGAACATTAGTATGGAAAGGTGGCACAGATATCCTTCAAGCAAACAACCAAAAATAAATCGAGAGATGCAGATCCTGCTTTAAGAACACTTATTTGTTCCTTGGTCGAGATAAGTATTGACCTTCTTGAATCTTTAAAGCAGTTTTGAAAGCTTCTGAAATGTACAACTCCAGGGTGGTTATTTAGCTGTCAGGAAACTGTGCAAGGAACAAGCCCGGCCATTGATAGTGGATCAGCATATTGAGTTCCATGTACAGAACTCTGAAGCTTATGACTAAGGCTGAGCCAAAAGTGGGGCACAGTTTGCAAACACTTTTGGGTGCTGTCAAAAAGTGCTGACCTCTCCCTTTTGGCAGCTTTTTGATGGATTGTTTCAAAGTGCCTTGGAAATGTTTGCCAACAGAGGAAGCATTGCCTTACAGCTCTCTTGGCTTTGCTTGCCCTGGTAGAATTGTCATGGAGGAAAACCTGCCTAGCCATGCAACTTCATGAGTTCCTGTTTATCGCTTGCTGCCTGATTGGCTGCAGCCCCCTTCAGGTGTCCTGGCTCCTCTGTCAACACCTACAGGAGGATGCCTTTCTGGAAACAGAGCCTTCTGCATCCGACATAATTATGAATATGGATACGGAAACCCTCTTGTTCAGTGTCCATAGTCAGAATTTCAAATCACCTGGGCAGCCTGCATTTTACCAGTGTTTTTTAGGCCATTTAAACTTTGTGGTAAAGTTTATGTTGTGCAAATAAAAAGATCTCTAACGTATGTTTAAAAATATTCACAGTGGAGGCCAATCACACACACAAAGTGATTGATTTTCTACCACTGAGGATGTTTATTACCATCAGTTACTATAATTGGTTTTCAAGGCCAGAAATGAGTATCTCCATCAGTGCCAGCTCCAGGTTTGGGGAATGCTTGGGTGGACACAGCTGTGTTTGAAGGACCGTCTAATCCATGCCTGGTTTACATGTTAGCAAATGTAAATTGGTGATTTTTTAGGTGATGCATTTCTTCTTCTTGGCCCATTCATGCGTGGCTACCATGGCCACAAGTTAGTTTGTAGAGTGCAAGGGGCGCTGTAATGCTGTCCTCTAACAAAAGAGAACTGCCAGAGCCCCCCAAAAGGAAAGCTTGAGGGCCCACTGCCTCCCATCCCACCGCCCAACATTTGCCGCCAGAGCTGGCCACTTCCATTGCCTCTTGATCAGTTAGGAATCATTGAAAATGAAAAAAAGGCAAAAGAAAGGGACACGGAGTGGAGTAAGTAGCCTGTGATGCTAGCAGAATGGAACGGCAAAATATAATAGGCCAGCGATGACTCTGCTAACTTCCAAGATTTCTGCAATCAAACATAAGCCAGGAAAGGTGTGCAGCCTGCTCCTCTGGGTGAGAGTCAAAGCAGCACTGGAATATTCTCAGTGCATGGAAGGAGACACAGCAGGCTGCCTTCACAATAAATTATCCCAAATAATCCAAAAACAGCTTGGCAACCTTGGAGATCTGGCAAGCATAAAGTGACTTATTTGTGTCAAGTGAAAATCAAGTTCTGGAGTGGAAGTTGAATAATAGAAGCCAGCAAAGTGACCTTTTTGTCAGCAGATATGAGAGGACACCCTGCCTGACTGCCTGATCAGCCTGGACAGCGAGATTTCCCACTCCCTGCACCCCCCCTCCCCCCATTTGCAGAAGGCTGGGATGAATCTTGAAAAGAAGGACTGAGAATAGCTTGGCTCAGGGTGAAAGGCATGACCTCATAAATGGGCAAGGAGTGGACTGATATGCATGTGCTTTTATCATTTGGAGAAAAAATCAGTGGAATAAATTGCAGGGCACTGCTGCAATTGGTCGAAGTATATAGCAAGATGATTCCACAAGACATAAATCATCATTCCCTCTAAAGGTCTGCTAAAGTATCATGTTGAGAGGCCTACAGCTCCCCACTCTGTTGGGTGGGGCCTGCTGAAAGTGGGAGGCCGCTTTTCTCTCTAAATTGCATGGGGTTGTACTGCATGTATTGTGCCCACCGGACAGTTCATTTCATGTAAAGGATCATCTCAAACTGAGCCAGAGGGACAAAACAAATCTGGCTTTTTATTAATATTATGCTTGTTAACAAAACAGATCCAATATTATACTTTTTATACGATATACTTCATTTACAAGATTAGCAATTGCTCCGTTCAAGTGTGGGTGGTTGGGAGGGACATGAACACCTTGTTATGTTGAAATTTTTTACCAATTTAAACAGTAAAAATGCCAGTATTTAAAATCATTTAGCAATCTTTCTTTCTACTTAACAGGCCTATTTCTATAGCTTTAAAACTGAGAGTAGAAGCTTTGTTTCTAAAAACTGGAATTCATGAAATTCTAATAAATCTGTCATTTGCACAGAAAAGCTCTAAGCTAGTTGTAATTTCTAGGTTGTATCTAAGTATATCCATCCACCAGTGAAGCAACACTACTCAAGGAATGAATTCCCCTTCTTCCCTACAGGCTCCTGCATGTGCCCACAAATCTCCCGAGGTTCGGACGTCCAGATTCTCCAGAGCTGAATTGAACGTATGACATGTATGGGGAAGACAGAAGAGGGAAGTCCTACTGTATGAGCAGGATCTTTTTGTGCAATGCTGGAGAATCTCCCATTCTGCTGCTTCGCCATGTTTTACAGCATAATTAGATCTGTGGGACAGAACTTGTCCCGTGTTTGAAATATGGAGTCTTCCTTTTCCTTTGTTATGTTATTGTTTCAAGAAATGCAACATTTCTCAAGGGTCTTCTCAGTGGCTGTTATTGCTGTGTTCAATTGTGCTTTTAATGTATGTGTTTTAATCAAACTTTTATTTATCTTTCATTGTGCACCATCTTCAATGCCACTTTCTTGGTAGAAGCCTGAGGTACAAATCAAATGAATGAGCAAAATAGCATAATTAGCATCATCAATATTGCTGCACTTTGCCAGTGTTTTTGAGGCCAATTTAATTTTGTGGAAAAGTTTAAAGCCATGATGTTTCTGGCCAAGCTACATGTTATGTGCAAAGACATGTGACATTCTGCTGGTTGACATGAATTGGAAAAATTGCTACCAGAAAAAGGATAGGGTTGTAGTAGGGGTGATTAACCCGCTTCTGCTAATTGGCTCTCTAGTCCTAAATAAGCCCGTGCAGCTACAGATGTGCCTGTCCTCCCAAGGAATCAGCATACAGTCGTGCTGTAAGTACGTTCTTCTGGCATGAACTTTCACTGAGAATAGCCTACACCATTTCACAAACTGAGAACAAAATAAATCAAAAGTCATGTGGGTGGAAAATGTAATTAACAAAGTGCCTGACTAATCTCTTGCATAGATTTCACTGGCTTGGTTCACACAATATGAGAACCACCACTCAAGAATTAGTATGGGTTGAATGTAGATTTTCACTGAACTGGGAGTTGTCCTTGAACTCTGGGTTATTGCTGAAGCATGAGCTGTTCTGTTGTGTGAACCTAAACACATTAACAAATCGCAGTTTGTTAACCATGGACAACCAACTGTTCACCAGCCAACAGCAAACCATGGGCTCTCTCTCTGTGAGTTGTCTGTGGTTAAGAAACCGTATTTCGTTAGTGTAGTTGGTACACACAACTCACAGTTCAAGGACGGCCCACACTGCAGTTATCCTCAATCTTGAGCATGGGTTCTGATATTATTGGAACCCAGTCAGTGAGTTCAGTGACATAAGACTATAGCCTATGAATCCGAGTTAAATTAACATACTTTGATATATGCAGCATGCTGCTTAAAGAGAGAGAACTTTCCTTTGTTTTCTTTGCCGTAGGGGAGCCACTGACAGGTGCTACTCAGTTTCCAAGCTCCCAGAAATACAAGCACATTTCATGACAAATTCCAATTTCTGATTTACGTTCATGAGCATAACGAACAAGGTTTTATAAGTTGCAGTCTGATGTCCACACCAGTACATGAAAGACAAAAGCATTGATCATTCTTTTCCATCATCACTGCTGATCATGTATTATGCAACTTGACCACAAGTGCTATTTATTTGCAAGTTGAATCATTTGAGACTCATTAGGCTATAATGTAGGAAAGCTTCTGCTGTATCCTGCTAGCAAGTCTCCAAGGTAGCAAGTGCTACTTGATTCAGTCCTTAAACTACTGTAACCTATGACTAACATAACTATCCAGTCTATTTTTGAACATTAACATCTGGAGCTTACATTACAGCTTTTCATTTTAAACAATTGCCGTTTGAATTAAACACTCTAGCATTTTTCAAGCCCCTTAATTTCCCTAAAAAAAGCTGAACAACTCAAGATGAAAACTAAGTTATAAGACTGAGTGCAGAGTTTTGGATTGATTTTGCTGGCTAACCAAAGATAGATGGAAAGATGCTCTGAACATGTACTGAAATGAAGTATTAGAATTAACATAATTTCAGAACACCCAGCTGGACTGTGTCACTCCATCCCAGTACTATTTCTGTGATGGGGAAGATAGACTGTGGCTTCTTGGAGTGGCATCCTGCGTTGGTGTCTCATGTTATGGGGTGTGCATGACCACTGTCAGGATTACATGGAGGAGCAGGTCACCTGCTCCTGCTTTTGGGGAAAAATGATGTGTGTATAATCTACTACAAATAATACATTAGCAGTCATTCCTCAATGAACAACTCCTAAACTGGTCACTTTCCTTTCTTTTCCTTCAGTGGATAGGAACCAATTATGTTGTCCTGCTAATTGAAATAGTACTAGTGGAGTCCTTCTGAAATTTCCGGTTGTGCAAGAGCTTGTGCATTGGACTAGGACAGCATCTTTTGTGCTAGCAGAATGCCAACACTAGATGCTACCCACTGACTGTTTCTTTAATGGACAGGATATTTTTATCTAGCACAAGCTTTTCTAAGATTTCCTTGGATCCATTTCTTGTCAACCGCTCTTCCAGTGCCTCAAGCAAGGTGTCATTTCCCAGGCACACATACAGAATGGCATTGATTATTTCCCCGTTACTGGAGCCAGACATTGATTCTTCTGGCTTCCAATGCAATCCACAGCATTATCTATTTGACCCTTCTGTCACTTGCCTGAATTTGAATATCAGGAATTTAAATGTATGCACAGTGGTTTAATAGTATGATTAAAACTAGAAGCTTTCAAAATGCCCCATGATACTGTAAACTGTTTAAATTCTAAGATTTTAAAAGAATAATATATATCATGCAAACAGTAGAGCGATCATAACATTGCATCCATTCTTTCTTATCTATTGAAAGAAATGGAAAGATGGGACAAGGCAAGCTTCAGAACTAGACAAACGCAGTAAGACTTTGTGTCTCAACTTTGTTACTGCAGCATGATGCAGTACACCATCAGTATTGATATCTAAATAAAGTATCCTCTAGAGGACCATCAGCAATTCAAAGGAGGTCACCACCAACAGCCCTTTTAAATGGATTGTTCATTAATTTATTTATTATTGGCTCGGGCTTCCTTAAAGCCTGTTACAGGCTAGATTTTGCACATCTCTAAATATTACCAGGAATTAACAGTCAATGTATTATTGCTGACAAGGATTTGTCATGGATATTGTCTTTTCTATTATGACAGAGATACACATTCAGTGCCACAGGCTAAACCTGAGTTCTTACCATTCAGCTAGATGGATCATGATCATAATGAATACCTGGCAATTTCCTGAGTCTGTGTGCATTTTAAGCATTACAGATTACAAACAAGTGGAAATGGGTTTCAGCTTTGACTATTTTTTTATTTTAAGAGTAACATCTTCAATGATACTGTAAATAATTTACAGTCCATCCATAGGGACTATGTGTTGGCTTGAATTCCTTGGCCTTAGTTCATATTCGATCAAATAGAGTTAGAAAGTAACAGTCTAGGAGAAAAGGGACAAAAGAACATTTTTACCATAACCTCAAAGTGAGGCTAACACTGTTCAAAATGTGAGAACTTTTTGAACTTGAAAGTTACTTGGCCTCAGGGTTGCATTAATGCTTTGATTAACATCTAGAAGAAAGAAAAAATCTAAGAAATTTGCATCTAATTTTGTGGTTAAGAATGACCAAAAAAAATTGATTACTGAACATCAAATGTTTTAGGAATTTAGTCTGGAAACAGTGTGGAGAATTGTTTGAAAAGATGATGAAGATGAAGATGAAGAGAAGAGCACAAGCTTATCCAAGGCTTCTAAGCCTAGGATTAACAATGGAATACTATTACTCCCTTGAACATTTCCTTCTTTTTCGGCTGATGAAAATTCCTTAGTATTATTTAATTCAATACAAATAAGCCCTAAAAATGCATTTCAATTAACATAATGTCCATTTCAGAACTTACATTTCAATTGTGAGCTCCCAGTTTTAAACAAAACATTTGCTTTGTTAAGACGACTGAAGGTAGCCCATTAAAGAGTTGGCAGTCTTAACAAATTTGCATTAAATTGAGTGCACATAGATCCAGGATGCGTTTTGTGCTTTCAACCTCCCAGCAATAAACATCATGTACTTTTGCATTATCTGCATTTTCACTTAAAAAGATAAAATTAGAGCCAAACCACATCATAGAATCTTACCCAAGCCTACAATATCATGTTTTCAAATCAGATGAAACATTTTAAATTTGAACATTCACAGTTCATTTCTATTCTGTTTCTGAATCAGAAGAACAGATGCTTAAGATGACAAAAGCCTTGGCAGAATGTGAAGTCAAGTGAAATATTATGTACAAGACTAACTTCACGGTTATATCAATTCAGGGAAAGCCAATGACACCTAGAGCAGTGGAGATCCTCATAATAACAGCTTTTGAGTTTCATAGAAAGCATCCATGGAGCACCATGGTGGGGAATTTGTTTGGGGATGGATTTCAGCACCAAGAAAGCCCCTGTAAAGCTGAAAATAAAATATGCAATGGAAGAGAATGGATGCAGAAGTTGCCAGCCTCACCTTCATGGCTATAAGATCACAAAAGCTATGTTGCAGTGTGACTGCAGCTAAAAAAATGCATGCATTTCTTGTGTATACAATACACAAGCAAGAGGGAAAACAGTGAGTGATGGAAGCAAACACAAAATGTCTGAGTCTTGATTGATTTGCTTTTTAAGCAACCGAAGCATGATAGTATACTAAGAAAAATGGCCAGAATGAGCTGCTTCTTGGAAATCCCATTGTTGAGTTGTGTGCCGTCAAGTCATCTTCAACTTATGGCAATTCTATGAATGAAAGCCCTCCAAATTATCCTTCCCATGACAACCCTGCTTAACTGTTCTAAATTCAAGGCTGTGGCTTCCTTTATGGAGTCAATCCATCTCTTCTTTGGTCCGCCTTTTCGTCTTCTGCCTTCAGCTTTCCCTAACATGATGGGAAATTCCTTAACCTTTCTTTTTACAGAACATATTTTGTCAGTTCCTCTGATACTAGAAGAAGCATGTCAGTATCAGGAGTAGTTGCCTTTGATAGCCTAAACCTCCATGAATTTGTCTGATCTCCCTTTGCACTGTATCTTGTGCAAGTAAATTCCATAGCTTCATGATGT